GTCTCAGTGTCCCGGTAATTGCTGCAAGCACCTCTGAGGGAAAGCCGCCCTCGAGTTCCGAGTTCTGCTTGCTGCCAGACAGTCCAGTTTCTCCCCATATGTGCGCGTGCTCGAGCCTCCGTACCTCTGCACTTTTACTTCCGCAGCTCCTCTGGGTCTCAGTGTGCTTTTCTCTTTCCTTCTAGTTGTAGAATTTCCACTCAGCCAGCCTTCCTGTAGTTCTGGATGATGTCCGTTTTGTCTTTTCGTTGTATTTTTGAAGTTGTTGTCGGAGGCAGCAATTTCCGGTATTTACCTATTCCGCCATCTTGGTTTCTCCTCACTTGGTAATTTCATTAGCATTTCAAAATACTTATTTAAGCTGATTTCTCATTTAGTTAAAAACATTTATTAATTTAGGCTGATTTCTTTTTTGAACCATTCAGAAGTATAATGTATAACCCCCAAATATATGGGAATTTTCTAGTGATCTTTTCATTATTGATTTGTTTTAATTTCATAATGGCCACAGAATATTTGTTTTTAATCATTTGTATTCTGTAGCTTAGCATATGATTAGTTTTGGTAATTTTATGCATGCTTCAAATAAATGTGTAAATTTTGTTGATGTCAAATGTAGTGTTCTATATATGTAAGGTAAAGTTTGAAATATGTGCTGTTCTATATCCTTACTGATTTTTTGTTTGTTTTCTTATTCTATTACTTTCTGACTGATGTGTTAAAGTTCTCCCACTATGATTGTGGGATTTTTCTTTTCCTGTACAGTTGTATATTTGTGCTTTATATATTTTGAAACTGGGCTACTAAATGCAAATAAATGTCTAAACAGATCTTCCTGATAGAGTGAAACTTTTATTTTTGTAAAATTGCTCTTTTATATCTCTATTAATACTTCTTGCTTTAAACTATACTTTGATATAGTAATATAAACCAGCTTGCCTATGATTAATTTTTGCATGGCATATCTTTTTTCTATTCTCTTACTTTTGGTCTGTCCATAGCCTAATATTTAAGGTGTGCCTTATGAAAGCAACATATAGTTGAGAAGTTTCATACACACTATCCCAAAATATGGTATCTTGGCATACTGCATATATTAAGATAAAGGAATTTGAAAAATGACAGGTGCAGGAAGAACTCTGACCTACCCCTGAAGTAAGTCATAAGATCTTCATGTGAGAGATGACCTCCCTATACCTGGAGAAAAGAAGCATTCCTGGAGGGATGCTAAGAGGAATTTGAATGAACAGGCCTTTGTAAGTTTCCTCTAGTTTACTACTCTTAACTCATATCCTATGGTCCTATCACATTTTCCTGTGACTTTCTACTCTTTGTCAAACCTATAGCATAAAAGTGCTCAGGTTTAACCATTTCTTTGGATCTTCATTTCCTTATGAAGGCTTCTATGCCATGAAAAAATTAAATCTGTAAGCTTTTCTCTTGTTACTCTGTCTTTTGTTACAGCTTAGAACCTAGAAGAGTGGAAGGAAAATATTTGTTCCTCTTCTACAAAAGCAACATACAATTGTTTTTTCTTCATCCATTCTGATGATCTTTGTTCTTTAACTGGACTATTCAGTCTATCATTTAATTGATGAAATATTTGAGTTCATTTATACCATATGACTATCTGTATTCTTTTTGCCCCACCTATAATATGTTTTTATTTGCCCTTTTCTCTCTTCTTTTAGTTTTTTTTTTTTCACTTAATTTTTTTTTAAACATATTTTATTGATTTTTTACAGAGAGGAAGGGTGAGAGATAGAGAGTTAGAAACATCGATGAGAGAGAAACATCGATCAGCTGCCTCCTGCACATCCCCCACTGGGGATATGCCCGCAACACAGTTACATGCCCTTGACTGGACTCGAACCCGGGACCTTTCAGTCCGCAGGCCGACGCTCTATCCACTGAGCCAAACCGGTTTTGGCTCTTCTTTTAGTTTTTATTTAAATTGTATTTCTTGCCCTCTATTATACAACATTTTATTTCTTAACTAGAGGCCCAGTGCACAAAAATTTGTGCACTGGGGGGTGTCCCTCAGCCCGGCCTGTGCCCTCTCGCAGTCTGGGACCCCTTGGGGGATAACCACCTGCTGGCTTAGGCCCGTTCCCCGGGGGATTGGGCCTAAGCTGGCAGTCAGACATCCCTCTGGCAGCCCGGGAGCCCTCAGGGGATGCCCACTTGCCAGCGGGGAGCAGGACTAAGCTGCAGTCGGACATCCTTAGCGCTGCTGAGGAGGCAGGAGAGGCTCCCGCCACCACCGCTGTACTGGCAGCCGTCAGCCTGGCTTGTGACTGAGTAGAGCTCCCCCTGTGGGAGCGCACTGACCACCAGGGGGCAGCTCCTGCATTGAGCGTCTGTCCCCTGGTGGTCAGTGTGTGTCATAGTGACCAGTCATTCCCAGTCGTTCTGCTGTTAGGGTCAATTTGCATATTACCCTTTTATTATATAGGATAGAGGCCTGGTCCATGGGTGGGGGCTGGCTGGTTTGCCCTGAAGGGTGTCCCAGATCAGGGCGGGGGTACCGCTGGGGTGCCTGGCCAGCCTGGGTGAGGGGCTGATGGCTGTTTGCAGGCTGGCCACGGCCCCCAGCCACCTAAGCTCCCAGTGGAGGATGGCTGGAAGCAGGTATCTGGAGTGGCTTCCTCCATTGCCTGGGCAACCAAGCCTCCTGCTTGCTCTAGCTCCGTGGCTGCCGGCCTTCTTGGTTGGGTTAATTTGCATATAGTTGCCGATTGGCTCGTGGGCGTGGCTTGGGGCACAGCGGAGGTATGGTCAATTTACATGTTTCTCTTTTATTAGATTAGATGGTTACTCAGAGCTATACTGCTGCTCCATTCAGTAGGTATTAGCCAAATGTGACTGTTTAAATTTAAAATTCTAATACACGTTCCCTTATTCTTAAGTATATTAAAGTTGGTGATGATGATAGTTAATATCACAGAGTGCTTACTTAATCTTCACAACAATCCTAAGAGGTGGGTATACTATTAATTTCTCCATTTTACAGATAAAGAAACTGAGATACAGGGAGGTTAAGTAAATTACCTAATCTAACAAGTGATAGAGACTGAATCTCTACTTTGAGCCTGTGTCTTATTTCACTTACATGATATTTTCCACGGATTTGGGCTTAATAAAAATGGAGATTGGGTAAAGTTGTGCAATCTGTAATCTCTTTATGGCATTTCCAGACACATCAAGGATACAGTGTTTGCCCTAAAATAGAGAATAAAGAAGAAAAACAAGTGAAAACAAATATTTTCAATAATATCAAAGATATATTTCCTATAGGTACAGAATCAGAATTATGATATGTTTGGATCCTGTTCACTTTAACAAACTTGTTATTTTATTTTTTAAAAATATATTTTATTGATTTTTTACAGAGAGAAAGGGAGAGGGATAGAGAGTTAGAAACATCATGAGAGAGAAATATTGATCAGCTGCCTCCTGCACACTCCCTACTGGGGATGTGTCCACAACCAAGGTACATGCCCCTGACCGGAATCAAACCTGGGACCCTTGAGTCCGCAGGCTGACGCTCTATCCACTGAGCCAAACCGGTTAGGGCAAAACTTGTTATTTTTGTTAGCAAATTAAATAAAGACAATGAATAATGACTATGAATAATTAATTTTCCATTCTCAAATATTACATTTAAAAAGGAATGAAAATACATTAAGAAACCTGGCTCTCATTATTGTCAATATATTAATTTGCTCAACTCTAGAATATAAATTAGTTTCACAACTGTTAGCTCATACCACTCTGAAAAACAAAAGAAGAGTTCAATATTTGTTCACAGATATTTTTGTATTTAACCTGTGGTTCAGGATTATTGGAATTAAGACTCTCCTCTCTTCCCCTCCCCTCTTTAATGCAGTGATTTGTTTGAAATCTAGTTAATTTAGTTCCTGTTTGTATATCATTTTTCATTTCCCTCACCTTTCTTTTTTATTTTTAAAAAATATATAAAATGTTAACATAATTCTAAAAGTCAAAATTATATAAAAAGGTATACTTGAAGAAATGTCAAACCTTCATCCTTTCTACCTCATTTCCATCTCCCATCCTTTTCCACCCCTTCCTCTGTAGCTAACCAATCTCATTAGTTTCTAATTTATTATTTCTACACCTTATTTTTGTGTGAATTGTGTATTCATATCTTTTTGTCTGTTATTTTATTAGGTTTTTGGTCTCTATTTCCTTAATTTTTAAGAGTTCTTTATATATTTGGAATATCAGCCCCTTGCTTGGAATTTTTTTCTCTGTCAGGTGCTTTTTGACTTTGGTAACAGTGTTTCCCACTAGTTTTTGGAAAAGTTTTTTTTTACCAAGTAAAAACCATTTTTATTTTTAATTTGGTCAAATTTATTAGTCTTTTATTGGATCCAAATTTTAATTCATAGTTAAAAACTTGCACTATGACTAGGTTATATTTTCTTCTGTCAATTGTATTACAGCCAACGTTTGTGTATAGTGTGGTTTTAAATTAATTAATTAACTTTTTTCTAGTCGTCCCAGCACTATTTACCAAAAACTCTTTTATTAAAAGCCTTGGTGACTGGAGATTGCACCTTCATCATCCTATAATAAAACCCTAATATGCAATCGACCGAACGGCAGAACAACCGGTTGCTATGATGTGCACTGACCACCAGGGGGGCAGACGCTCAACGCAGGAGTTGCCCCCTGGTGGCCAGTGCACTCCCACGGCGCGCCCACAGGGGGAGCGCCGCTCAGCCAGAAGCCTGGCTCACGGCTGGCAAGTGCAGTGGTGGTGGTGGAAGCCTCTCCACCCCTGCGGCAGCGCTAAGGAGCAGCGAGCAGGAGGGTGGTTAAGGAGCGAGGGGTCCTGGACTGTGAGAGGGATCCTGGACTGCGAGGGGGATGTTCGCCTGCCAGCGAGAGGGTGCAGGCCAGGCTGAGGGACCCCCACTCCGGTGTACGAATTTCGTGCACCAGGCATCTAGTATACTATATTTTCATATATATTTGGGTCTTGCCTGGATTCTCTTTTCTATTCTACTGGTCTGTTTGTCTATTCATGTGACAGTACTATACTAGGTTTTAATTAAGAAGACTTTATAGTATGTTTTAATATGATAGGGCTGGAATCCCTTGTAGCTTTTTTGTATTGTACTTGCTTCTCATATAAACTTCAATTTGACTTATCAAGTCCCATAATAAAGGTGGTATTTTTTATTGGGATTGTGTTCATATATAAATTAGCTTAGACAGAACTGATAGCTCTGCAATACTGAGTCTTAATCCACGAACATGGTGTATCTCTCCATTTATTTAGGTCTTTAATTCTCTGAGCAATGCTTTGGAGTTTTCAGTGTATTGGTCTCAATATCTTTTGTCAGCTTTATCTCTAAGTATTTAATATTTTTTGATGCCACAGTAAATAATATTGTTTTTAAAATTTCAATTTATAATTGGTCTGGTATATAGAAATACAACTGATTTCTGTATCCTTAAATCTTGCTAAACTTATTAGTTCTAGTGGCTTAAAAAAATGTTTATTTTTTTATTTTGGCCAAATTACTGGGGGGTGGGGGAGAGATATAGAGAGAGAATGAGAGAAACATTGATCAGTTGCCTCCTGTATGCACCCAACCAGGCAATGAATCCACAGTCCAGGTTATGTGCCCTGACCAGGAATCAAAACCACAACCTTTCAGTGTATGGCAGTGATGGCGAACCTTTTGAGCTCGGCATGTCAGAATTTTGAAAAACCCTAACTTAACTCTGGTGCCGTGTCACATATAGAAATTTTTTGATATTTGCAACCATAGTAAAACAAAGATTTATATTTTTGATATTTATTTTATATATTTAAATGCCATTTAACAAAGAAAAATCAACCAAAAAAAATGAGTTCGCATGTCACCTCTGACACGTGTGTCATAGGTTCGCCATCACTGGTATATGGGATAATATGGGATAATGCTCCAATCAACTGAGCCATACCAGCTAAGGCTCTAGTAGCTTTCTTTCTTTTTCTTTATTTTTTTGGTAGATTCTATCAGATTTTTTATATAGACCATCATGTCATTCGCAAATACAGACAATTTTACTTCTTCCTTTACAATCTGCATGAATTTTCTTTCTTTCTTTTGCCTTATTGTACTGGCTAGAACCTCTAGTATAATGTTAAAAATAAGTGGTGCCCTAGCCGGTTTGGCTCAGTGGATAGGGGGTTGGCCTGTGGACTGAAGGGTCCTGGGTTCAATTCCAGTCAAGGGTGCATACCTCGGTTGCAGGCTCAATACCTGGCCCCAAGCTGGAGTGTGTAAGGGAGGCAACCAACAGATGTCTCTGTCTCTCCCCTTCCCTTTCACTCTCTCTAAAAATCAATGGAAAAATATCCTCCTGGAATATTGTTTATCAATTTGAGAAGGTTATCTTCTATTCTTGGTTTGTGGAGAGTTTTAATCAAGAATTGATGCTGATTTTGTCAAATGCTCTTCCTGAACTAAGCAAGTGATCATATGGTTTTCCTTTTTTAGTTACATTGACTGACTTTCTAATATTTAAATGTACCTTGCATTCTTTGGATAAACACTACTTGGTCATGACATATTACCTTTTTTATATATTGTTAGACTCAATTTGCTAACATTTTGTTTAGAATTTCTGCATTTATATTCATGAGGGATACCAGTCTGCAGTTTTTTGTAATGTGTTGTCAAGTTTTGAAATCTAGGTAATGCTGGACTCTCAGAATGTGTTGGGAAGTGTTCCCACCTTTTAAATTTTATGTAGAAAATGGTATTATTTTTTCCTTAAATGTTTGGTAGAATTTATTAGTGAAGCCATCTGGATCTGGGGTTTTCTTTGTGGGAAGGTTTTTAAGTAAAAATCAATTTTATTAAAGATATAGGGCTATTCAAATGATCTATTTCTACTTGAGTGAGCTTTATTTCTTCCTAGGAATTTATCCATTTCATCTAAATTACTTAGTGGTAAAAAGTTGTTTCTAATAGCCTCTGATTTTTTTTTCTTTTAACATTTGTAAATTCTGTCACTTCTCTCATTTCTGATATTGGTAATTTCTATCTGTTTAAAGTTTTATCAATGACACTGATCTTATAGAAAAACCAGATTTTATCTATTGTTTTTCTGTTTTCTTTTTACTAGTTTCTTCTCTGACCTTATTATTTCTCAGCATACCACATAATCTGCACTTTTATTTATACTATGTGACTTGGGATTTAGTTTATTTATTCATTCTTTTCTTGTTTGAAAAATTTTAAGGTAGTAAATTTTCCTTTAATCATGGTTTTAAATGTATCCTATGAATTCTGATATGTACTATTTCATTATTATTTTTAAGAAATTCTGTATTTTCTCTTTCATTTAAGAGTTAACAGGTGGTTTTAAAATTTCCAGTTGTCTGGGTCTTTTTGTTTTTAATTTTCTAACAACCTATAGATTTTTCTTGCATTGTGATCTGAGTATTAATTGTAATATTTCTACTTTGTGGAACTTCCAATTATTTTCTTCTCCACAAGGTTTGCACAAGAAATAGCTTGCTGCCGAAACTGGTTTGGCTCAGTGGATAGAGCGTCGGCCTGCGGACTGAAAGGTCCCAGGTTCGATTCCGGTCAAGGGCATGTACCTGGGTCGCGGGCACATCCCCAGTAGGAGATGTGCAGGAGGCAGCTGATCGATGTTTCTCTCTCATCGATGTTTCTGACTCTCTATCTCTCTCCCTTCTTCTCTGTGGAAAATCAATAAAATATATTTAAAAAAAAAAAGAAATAGCTTGCTGTGATTTGATTTGTTGTTTACTTTTCAATTGACTAATTTGAAGTTTGGTTATTATCAGTTTTTCAGTTAGGTTGAGCGTATGGTTATTTTAATTAAAAAAATATTTTTATTGACTTCAGAGAGGAAGGGAGCGTGAGAGATTGAAACATCAACAATGAGAGAGTATCATTGATCAACTGCCTCCTGCATGCCCCACAGTGGGGATTGAGTCCTGAACTCAGGCATGTGCCCTGACCTAGAATTGAACCTTGACCTCCTGGTTCATAGGTCGACACTCAATCACTGAGCCACTCCGGCTGGGCTGAATTTTTAATAAATTTGAAAGAAATACAACATTACAAATAAAATTAAAGCTACAATTTCCTGTCCATTCTTCCCAAAGGAAAACCACTGGATATTGGTTGCATTTACTCCTGAAGCAGATGTATCATTCCCATGCATGTTTTTACGTTTACTAAATATGTATTCATTAACTATACAGGCTGTTTTATGTTATTAAAAGTTTACATACATAGTATCATATTGCATATATCCTTTGTAATTTCACTCATTCATTGTAATTTTGAGATTTATTAATGTGGATACACTTTAGTACATATTAGTTTATTCATTCTAGCTGCTATCCCACTGCATGAATAAATAATAGTTAATTATTCATTTCCCTTTGCTGATTCTAATTTTTCACTATTATGAAGTGGTTGGTACTATGAACATTCTTATAAAGGATCCTCATGTGTGAATCTCTACCAAGATACCAAGAAGTAGAATATCTGAGTCATAAGATATGTGCATTTAGTAGGTACTGCCAAACTGTTCTTAGAAGTTCTATTAATTTCTATCTCCACTAACAGTATCTAAGATTTCCTATTTTCTCACATTCTTGCCATCACTGACATTTTCATTTTTTCAATTTTTAAAACTAATCAGAATTAACCAAACCTTTTATAGAAAAAGTAGTATTTACAGATGGAAAACTGAGATGCTGAATTACTGCTTTACATTTTGTTGGTATAATATGACTGAATTTTAAACAACTAGTTTTGAAGGTATAAAATAACTTGATGGTTATTTTCTAGACCCAAGTAGTGTTTTAAGCATAGTACCACGTCTGGGACACACTTTGGCTTCACTTTAAAACTGTTTTAACTCAATGTCAGTAAGTCATCATACTACCCTGAAGGATGCTTTCAGATAATCTCTTGCTGTTACAGTATTGTTGAATATTTTTTACATGGTCTTTTATTAATTGACTGTTTAGGAGAAATTTCTGTTTAGTTTCAGTACCAGCAGCAACTAAACTTATCTTGAACATCTGGTTCATTTTTACTGATTGACATTGCTGATCTGAGCTCCTTAATTATGCTAGATGTTGGAAACACAAGGTCTATCTCTAGCAAATGGATAGAACCTTAAAATAATCTCCCTTCTTAGAGAGATTCAAGTTATCATTTCTATCTCATTTTATCAATCTTCTTTATCTTGTATGTATTTTCCCAAGCCATCTAATATTATTTAGTTGAATGAATTAGTAACATTAATCAATTCTTCAACATCTGTATTTTTAAAAAAATATGAATTAAAAGTTTCTATCCTACTGTCAAAGGCATATCTAATTAGAAACTATATTCTGGGATCATTTTGATGCTTACCTTTTCTGCTACTTCTCGCACAGACTGAACACTTGTTCCATACAGATGGTTGTTATACTGGCCAGCTTCAATGAATTTATGTTCCTGGATATCTTTTTCCATCTGTTCTCTTGAAGTCACAAAATGATAATCTCTTCCATCTACCTCATAATCTCTTTTTGGTCTAGTTGTATCTTTAATAGAAAGAACTTTAAGTGTTTAGTATTAAAAATACAACAAATCCATTTTATACTTAAATACCTATTTTATAAAGTTCAATGCAACAGAGGTTAATTTAAATTTGAAAAAGGACAATAATATGAAGGATAGAAGAATAACTGATAAAATAACTATATAAACCACTAAAAATGATGATGTTTACTTTTACCACACACAGTGACAAAATGTTAAGAATGATAATTAAGATTTTTTTTATGGGGGTTACTCACGAGGAACACATGATCCAAATTTGTCCGGAAATTCTGAGATCAAGTCATCATTTATCCTGTCTTTCATAGGTCCCAATATAATCACTGGTCGAGTGTAATTAACTATCAAGATAAGTATACTGCATGTTAAAAGGAATAAACACTAAACAAACATCAATGTATTTTATTTCACCAAAGAACAAAGTATCCTTAATAGATAGTAAGAATTTTTTTTTCTTTTTCCACCAATGATGCTTAACTTGCTAGTTTATTAGCATTCACTAAGATCTTAAGCTTAAGTCAACCTCCTGTTGGAAGAATTGATAATTCAACCAAGTTAAATCCAGCATTTTAGCAGATAATGTTTATGTACATTGCTAACATCATCTCATTACAAATGAGAAAACACAGTCCTGTATTTTACTGATCATTTAAAAAATGTTTTTATTAATTTAGAGAGAAAGGAAGGGAGAGGGAGAGATAGAAACATTGATGTACCAACATCGATTGGCTGCCTCCTGCATACCCTTTGCGGGGGATTGAGCCCAAAACCCGGGCATGAGCCCTTACTGGGAATCAAACTGGTGATCTCTTGGTACATGCATGGGTTGACACTCAACCACAAAGCCACATTGGGCTACTGATGATTTTTGAAGTAGAAATTGTAAGAAAGCAGGTCAAAGAAAAACAAAAAGAAACTGAGTATTAAGAAGTGATTTAATCACAGTAGTAATCTAGAAAAATAATCTGCTAGAAGCGTATACACTGGATTGTAAGGGATCATGCTGGAAGACATCAGTAGTGACAGTCGGAATTAACATTGTGGTAGGAGGGATGACAAGGAGGTGATAAATAAGAAAGATATGATAGAAGAATAATAGTTCCTAGAAACTGATTGGACAAGGTAGATAAGGAACAAAGAAAGATCAAAGATGCTTCCAAGATTTTGAACAAGGGTCAGTGGAAGGAGAGTAATACTTTTATGAACTCTGGAAAGACATTATTACTTAGGAAATAAGACACCAATACAAAACCACTAGATTTTATTATACTCTGGGCTAAAACCCGTATTTCATAAAATACATATAGTAAAGTTCCACATTTATACATATACTAAAAAAAATAGTAAGATTCTAAAAACATTTTTTTGAGGTATGATTTAGAGCTATTTCCCAAATTAGAAAGTATATTTTTCTAGATTATAAAACATCAACAGGCTTCACAAACCTTCTTGTTGGTTCACTGGTTCATAAGACAAGACATATTCTTCTTGACCACCTATTAGAAGATTAAAATACAGATAAGAAAATCTGTAAAGATAACTAATGCTAATTTAATTCTGCATACATAACATAAAAATTACTAGGACGTTACTAAGGAAATAGCAAAGATGTAGAAAAAGGTACTTTATAAATTATTTCTGGCAAGTTTTAGTAAAAAAGTGGCAAATCACAAAGCTATAAAGATAAATTTGATAAATGTAAAAACAAAATGTAAATGTGCTATGTATTTCATAAGTATCTTTCTATTATCTGTGTTTACAGATTATCATTAGATCTATTTAAAATTTTCATTTGTGATGTCAAGTATGGCCCATTAATCTAAGAACTATTAAATTTTAAAAAGATTAATACTTTGATGAGCAGTTCTACATATGTGTATATTAGGTAATTTCCAGCTATTAAGAATATGCAGCTATTTTAGTCCTGTCAGGTATAACATTTAATAGAACACATGCATATTTTTATAATTACAACTATTTTACAATAAAAAATTTAAAAAAATATTTTATTGATTTTTTTACAGAGAGGAAGGGAGAGGGATAGAGAGTTAGAAACATTGATGAGAGAGAAACATCGATCAGCTGCCTCCTGCACACTCCCTACTGGGGATGTGCCTGCAACCAAGGTACATGCCCTTGACCGGAATTGAACCTGGGACCCTTCAGTCCACAGGCTGACGCTCTAATCAGAGCCAAACCGGTTAAGGCACAATAAAAATTTTTAATGCAGAGGTAAAACTACTGTCACTATTTCACTGATAAAAATTCATTTATTCTAATAATTCATTTATTCAATTTTAAAAAAATTACATGTAAAGTAAGCTAAAAAAAGCTTAACATAAAACTAAATCCATTCCCTTCAAACAAAATAAATCACACAGTAAAGGAGATAAAATATATTTTGCTTTTATCTTATAAGTTAAATCTTCTAACATTAATTAAAGGTTTAGAGCTGTAAAAAGTTTAGAAATCATAACTCAATGAAAAGAACTAAAAAAAGAGTTAACAATTTCAGGAGTTCTTAACACACACACACACACACACACACACACACACACACACACACACACGTGAAAACAAATAGGAAGGGCTGTTAATTCAAGTGGTTCCATGAAAGCAACCAATATTGGATAATGTATTTAAAGATTTTTTTCCTGGATTAGCACTATTCTTTAACAACCTTTTCACTAAATTTGTCAATGGTTTATATTATATGTATGCAGCTGTAGATCTTTTAAATTTACATATTAGCATAAATATCCTTTTCTACTTTAAAAGTATATTTCATTGTTCTAAGTTTATTACCATAATATATAAAATACACATTTACAAACTGCTTTTTAAAGTACTGTATGCAAAACATGGTTTACATATTAGCAAAAACATGCAATTTTAATATTCCACACCTAATAATTCATGCAAATGATGAGACAGTATATACTTTCATTACCTCTTTTTAGTCTAGAAAGCCACTCAACTACTCTATGGTGAATTATGATTATAATAAAATGCTAAAATATATAAAATCACATTCCCATACCAAAAAAGGAAAATTATTAAGTAATTATTATGCAGAAAAAAATAACCAAATGAGTGAGGATTAAAAGTATATATTGTCAACATGAGAAATAGTAGGAACTGATATTAACAGGATGGACCTTTTGAGCAGCCATACTCATCTGTAATCAAGATTACTTTCATATTAGAGAGCAGTAAAAAAAAAAAGTTAGAAAAGCATTTTAATTTTTAAGGTGCTAGAACTGACAATGTTCATGTACTCTCCCCTCCTCCCATGCCCAAATCTGTTTAAAAACTTCACATGCTTGTAGAGTTCACTTAATAATGAACAACTTGGGGGTTAGGGATGCTGAGTACCCACACAGCTGAAAATCTGCATATAACTTTTGATTCCTAGTAGCCTACTGTTTACTGGAAGCCTTACCGATAACATAAAGTTGATTAGCACATATTTTGTATGTGTATTATATACTGTAAGAATACTTACAGTAAAGTAACTAGAGAAAAGAAAATGCTAAGAAAATCTTTAAAAAATACATTTACGGTATTTATTGAAAAAAATCTACATATAAGTGAACCCGTGCAGTTCAAACCCATGCTGTTCAAGGGTCAACTGTAATACCCAGAATGTAACACAAAACACCAAAAATAAAACCAGTATTATAGTCTGAGCAACTGTTGAAAAGTCTTCCTCCATAATTTCTATATTCACCAAAGGCTGGTGATAAACAATAACTTGACCCAGACCAATACGGGTGACACAATAAAAAAGGAAATAAAGCCAATTATAATTTAGTATTACTGAAAAATAATTTTAATGCTCATATTAAAACAAAATAAGTACTAAAGAAAATGGCAAAAAGTTTACCCCTCATTTAACTATATATTTATTCCATTTAAAGATATACACACATATATGTACTATGTTCACAAATAGCACTCTTTGTAAAAAAGATTCCAGTATTTCATTAAAATTTTGGAAAGTAACTTCTATACATAATTTTTTTCTGTAATTTTTTCAAGTTTTCTGAATTTTAGTTGTCTCTCCCTGATTTTAAAAGATTAAGTATTTAATTTTCAGTTTTTAGAACACATCACTAAGGGAAAAAAAATTCCAAAGAATACATATTACTTGAGATTACAAAAGAACAAGTAACTTAAAACACTTACGGTAACTACTTTCACTATCGCTGGCATTAGAAGTTACATGCTCTGAAATTGCAGGATAATGAAAAAAAATAAAGAAAACACAGTGTCATGAGTTTTAAAAAAGTAAATTATAAATATAATCATAAGGTGACATTACAAAATATTGATATACACCACATACTTAATAAATTTTTAAAAAGCATTTTTGATTTTCTTTGAAAAGTTTAATTTTTTCAAATAAATAAATATGAATTAGCAAGGAAAAGAACTCCTTAAGGACAATGCCCATTTTTGTATAACACAGTTTATGAACAAAGAGGTCAGAGTGATTCTAAATTAGTTCAACTGTAGACATAAAACCCCCAAAGAGAAAATGGCACCAATTAATTTAGTTTATGAAACAGTAATGACTGACAAAGGAGACAAGTTATATTTGAGCAAACAGATGCCCATTTTAATGGAGATGTCTCAAAAAATAAATGATCTTGCTTTTAGTTCAGTTTTCTTGTTCCTGAAAAAAAAAAAAGTTAAAGTCCATGATCCTGAGATCATACAGATGAAGCATTTTAGATGTCATAGATTCAGATGCTCCAATAAAAGTCAAGTGGAAGGGAATTCTAGAAGATGGGACTGTTTTCGAAAATAGATTAATATTTTTGTGAAACTCTGCTTTGATGAAATTGACAATGCCTGCTTAAAACAAAAAAGATAAAAGCAAGTACGCTTTCATCAGTTGCATATTGCCAGGCCCCTCCTGAAAGTGACCCCATTTCATAACTTGATTGTTCAGTAAACACCAGGTACTCTTCTTATGTAAATGTAATCTCAGATGTCCTCTCAATAAATATTTCCCTTGAATAAAAAAGTAATTTTATTTCTAAAAACTAAAACCCAAAATTTCCCCAGGCAAAACAGTAGATTAAGAAAAAGTTTCAGGAGAAATCATCTGTTGTATCATACCCACCCACAGAGCCTCCTAAAGTCAAGTAGCACTATTGAAAACTTCAGAGAATGATAGAACTTAAGATTTCAGATAAAGGTAACAGTTTTTGAATTGTTATAGTAAAAAATAAGTATGTTATTCTAACCTGCAAAGATAAAACTTTCTTAATTGTGATTATGTATATTTTAAATAAAGCAAAAACATTAAAAAATAATTTATAACAAGAACATGTAGAACTGTGGTTTTTAAGTTTATACTTAAAAATTTCTTCCCTTATTACCACATGAACTTCAAAACAATTATTCTCAATCATCATCATCATATATAATAAAAGGCTAATATGCAAATCGACCAAACAGCAGAATGACCAGTCGCTATGATGTGCACTGACCACCAGGAGGCAGATGCTCAATGCAGAAGCTCAGCCAGAAGCCAGGCTCACGGTTGGTGAGCGCAGTGGCGGGAGCCTCTCCCGCCTCCGCAGCAGCGCTAAGGATGTCCAACTGATGTCCACAGGGAGTGGGCCTAAGCAGTCAGTTGGACATCCCCCAAGGGCTCTTGGACTGTGAGAGAGCGCAGGCCAGGCTGAGGTACCCCTCTTCTCCAAATGCATGATTTTTGTGCACTGGGCCTCTGGTTCTTGTATAATATTTTATTGGACTGATCAGTCATGATTTACTTTACTACTTACTACTTAGACATTTTAGTTTGCTTTAAACTGTTTTCCACAAACATCAATAATTATTATAAATGCCTCCATTTGTATAGCCTTTTATCTTTTGTCCTATTTCCTAAACATTCATTCCCAGAAGTAGGAATGCAAAAAAAAAAAAGTTCTCAAATTTATATTAGGATTGATATTACACTCTGCAATCTCTAATATGTAAAGAAACATTAGTTACTGCAATGGAATAAAAGGAGGGGGAGAGTAAGTGGGAGTATAGAAGAAATAATACTAATCATGAGTTGATAATAATAGAAGCCAGGTGAAAAAGAATACTCTGGGTTTATTTTATTATTATTCTACTATTGAATATATCTGACATGTTAAATAATAAAAAGTTAAAGTTACTACAATCTTCTTTCTATCTTTTCTGGGGATTTCTCCTATTCATCTTGAGTTAGTTTTCTAAGATTACCAGTATCTTGTTACTCAAAGTATGGCCCATGGAAAAGCATAATCATCATTGCTTGAAGTTTATTAAAAATATAAAATGCCTTTTTTCCTGATAATTAAAACTAATCTTTTTCAAGGCACTTCATCAAAGATGTTCAAATATCCAATAAACATATATAAATTTTTACTTAACAGGGAAATGCAAATTAAACCACAATGAATACCTTTACCATCCACCAGAATGGCTAAAATGAAAAACAAAAACAAAACAGGCCAAGCATGGAGAAGGCTATGCAGCAACTGGGACTCATATACTACGGGTGGGTATATTGGTACAGCCACTTTGGAAAGCTACTTGGCAGTGCCTACTAAAGCTGAACATACATAGCTATGACCTAGCAATTTCTTTCCTAGTTATTTCCCCACCCGAAAAACACACATATATATGCTCACCAAGAGACATGTATAAAGCAACAATATTCAAAATAGCCCTAAATATGTTTTTTAAGTCTGAGACTATAGTTCTGTATTTTATTTTTTTCACTTACATTGTGAAAATTTTTCCATGTCGTTTTTTTTAAAAATTAATTCTTGATTGTTGAAAGTACTACATGTCTCCCATTTCCCCCCATTGACTCCTTCTAGCCCACCCCCCTTGCAGGGCTTCACCACCCTATTGTCTGTGTTCATGGGTTATACATATATGCATACAAGTTCTTTGGTTGATCTCTTCCCATCCATCCACCTTCCCCCACCTTCCCTCTGTGATCTGACAGTTGGTTCCATGCTTCTGTGTCTCTGGATCTGTTTTGCTCATCAGTTTATTTTGTTCATTAGATTCCACATGTGAGTGAGATCATATAATACTTGTCTTTCTCTGACTGGCTTGTTTCACTTAGCATAATACTCTCCAGGTCCCTCCATGTTGTCTCAAAGGGTAAGAGATCCTACTTTTTTACTGTTGCATAATATTCCATGGTGTAAATGTACCACAGCTTTTTTATGCACTCATCTACTGATGGGCACTTGAGCTGTTTCCCGATCTTAGCTATTTATGTCATTATGTCTAAATATGATTTTCAATGGCTATATAATATCATAAAGTATGGATAACTTCATTAACCACTCCTTAATTGTAAGACATTCTAGGATGATTTCAATTTTTGAGTGCCGTAATTTCTAAATAATATTAAGCACCCTGACATATAAACCCTTACCTCCATCTCTGATTACATTCTTAGGATAAATTCCTTGAAGGGGAATTATTAGTAGGTCAAAAGATATGCTTTTCCAGAAAGGTTGTACCAATTTACACTCCCAATAATAATATGTTAAAAGTAGTCATTCTATAGAACCGTCAACATCACTGAGTTGTCCTTTAAAAGAAAAGTTTACCAAGGTAATCAGTAAAATGTCATTTTGTTTATTCCTTACTAGAAACACTGAACATTTTTATATGCTCATTTCATTTATCTTTTGAGCACTCTTCTCATATCTTTTGTCCAGTTTTCTAATGGAGAGTTAGTCTGTTTCCTTTCATGTTAGAAATGTATAGTGTAAGGATATTATCCCTTTGGCATACATGGTATAAATATATTCTTCAAGTTTTTGCTTTTATTTTGTTTATGGTATTTGATGAGCATAATAATTTCAAGTCTCTTTAACCAAGTCTCACTTTTCTATCAAACATTTCTTCCTAAGAATGCATCATGTGTTTTCTCTTTGTGCTCTTGAAATACTACACATCACCAATCTCACGTAATTCTAGTACTATTATACTTATTCCAAGTACAAATGAAAATAAGTCTGGTTTTGGCATCTAAGAACTCTGCACAAATCTGCTTAATAAGTCTTTAAAATGAGAAGAAAGGAAAGAGATATAATCGAAAACTTGTGTGCCTAACAGAAGAAGTCTTTGAGGTGTTCCACAAAATAAAAAGCTATAAAAATTGAGCTGCGTACAAGAGATAGGTACAAACCTTGTCTGAAATGGCATGTCATAACTACACTTCTGAGCACCTTTTATAGTCCCTCCTGAACTATATTTCTTTTGGTCACTGTTAAAGGAAATCTTACCGTTTTTTTCCTCCTGAACTTTTTCAAAATTGCCTTATTAAAGCATAAAATCTGCACAAGTTTCTATTTCTAGCTCTCTACAAGCTATCATGACTTAGTTGCATTCTCTCAGATTTCCATCATTCTCTAGTTCTGTGAGTCAAAATTAGGTTTTGAAAGACAGTTTCTCTCATTATTTCATATTCTACTGCCAACAGGGCAAATCAATAATTTATTTGATTCTCTTCTTCATAGAATCACTAAATTCATGTGTATGAAAAGTATTCTAGGGTATCACCTTTGTTTCTCTCTCTGCTCTTCAATTAAATATCCTCAAATTTTCCAGAGGTTGTGTGAAGTTACATGCAAATGTACATTTTCCTTGATGTTCAGTGTTATTTCACACCTCTTCAACAGGATTGTTTCTCTGGAATAATTTATCCTTCTATTCTTAGTCCCTTTGTGAGTCCTGTTACAACAAGACTTGATGAGTACCTAATATGAGGCCACATTTATTTTCTTATATTAAAATCTCACAGGATTTTTCTTAGTTTATTCCCTGTGTTATGACCTTTTGATAACCGAGGCCACAAATGTCCTTGATACATCCCCTTTCCTAGCATTTTCTACTGTATAATAATAGGCAACTTGCCAACTGCTAGTCTTCTGTTTTATGTAATAACCTCCATCATATCCAGTATTAGAATTTTACTTATATGTTTCTATTTCCTTCAATATTTTCCAAATAAAATCTTGATCTGATCATTAAATAACTGGGTGGATAATTTCTTTCAGTTTCTGGGAGATGAAGCACAGAAACCTACCATTCAAAGGATCTTAAGTCATTGTCCAGAAAAATTTAAATTCTTTTCTAAATCACATTGTCTGGTATTCAGTTACCGTTTTTTATTTGTTGCTCTTCCCAAGTACCAATCCTCAATTAAAATGAAAGATAAAATTATGATTCGGTCAAGATGTAATTATCATCCACCATAACAGTATCAATATGGGAACTAAATTCTTCCTTAAATTCCTTTTTAAATGAATTTTCCTTAGGTCTCCAATGACTCAACAGATAATAAAAATCTGTGGGTACATATGCTGATTCATACCATCTCTAAAACATGTTATCATTCTCAAGATAAATTCTACACCATTAAAAATCTGTGGAGCCCAGGGCACATACCTAGGTTGCAGGTTTGATCCCCAGCCCTGGTTGGGGCATGTGCAAGAGGCAACCAATTGATATTTCCCTCTCTCTCAAAAAAAATAAAAAAATAAAAATTATGGAAATATTTTCCACTTTTGAAGATTTTCACAAGGGTACCATAGTGATAGTAAATTCGTGGGTTCTTGCCAAATCCTAAAGATGCACATGCAAAAATAATAGAGAAGAAGAGAAGGGGCAAAACAAAGGGATGTCTATTGTCTGTGTGTCTAATAAAAATAATTACATATAAAGCATACTGCCTTCAGTCTAATACAAACTTTTAATTATTAAGGTTGAAATAAAAGTCAAGTTCCTATAGTTTAAAATACCAGGATAGTTAGGGTAAATCAGGAAAAATTATGAAATTTAATGATTATTAATATAGAGCTTAGAAAGTTGAAAGATACTGGTTATATCCTTAATAATCAATGAATTATAAAAAAAGAAGTTTTTAAAATGCTTAATAACCCAAAGGAAAAGAATTATCTAGAAAAAAACTTTAGCCTAAAAGGTTACTTCTATGAGTCACTGTCACCTAAAATAACTTAGTAATATTTGATAAAATTTCACATTTAATCAATTTGAAAACACCCACATTTAAAATTGATTGCTTAAATGACTTCTTGTTTTATTCATTTATTCTAACATTTATTGAATGATTCCTCTGTACCAAGCTTTATATGAAGACTAAGCTCTAGCTAGAAAATTAAACAAGAAAAACAAACAGCAGAGACAACATCATGGTTAAATGAAAAAAAAAAAATATTTCTTATAATTCTTTTCATCAATTACAACCTCCTTAAAAAAGATATGTAAATTTCCCTCTACAAAGACTGCTAAACTTGAGGTCCACAATTCTTCTCTAACATTTATCTATTGTGTTTTATAGTTTCACATTATAGCAATGCTTTTCTAAAATCAAAGTGATTTTAAATTGTTTTTTTAAAAAAGGGTGATATAAAACTGTAAGGAAGATTATTTTCTATATTCTAATAATGAGGGCAGGTAGTACTATTTTTAAAAACGTTAAAAAGTTTTTATATTTAAAAATGTAAATATTGAGCAGAGTTTTTCAAATGACTGAAAAATGGAGCATTAGAAAAACAAAAGATGTGTGTTATAGAAATAAAAATCCCAAGCATTTTATTAACATGAAAGCCTAAAAGCAATCTAAATCATACACCTCCTCATGCCAGAAAGGCACTACCATGATTCTCAAAATGTATCTAAAAAAGGTAGGTCTGTAGATGGAGGTTAAAAAATAACTTGGGAGTATTTTGATCACTTACTCAGGCCTTTTGATCCCATGTCGTCAGGGATCTCCTGTAGAGAGTAGTTCCCAGAGAGCAAGCAATAAAAAGATAATCAAAGAAAATAGTTGTCAGTAATGCATAAAATTGGTGCTACAATAAGAGACAGTTCCAAGACCATTACAGGTGCATATCTTATAGAGCATTTTTGTAGATTTCTGAAAGCTTGAAATAAGCTAGCAGTTAAATGTAATCTACTAAAAGAATGTAAGTTCTATCTTAGAGCAGTAAAGTTTGAGACTATTACTTGCTATTTTAAAAGTAAAATCCAGGCTGTCTACATATGAAGAAGAAATAGGATAAAATGGAATAATTTCAGAAGATCTATTTGTCAAAGATTGGCAATACCATACTTTGAAGTCACTAAGTAGCTTCCCAGGTATCCATGTTTTTCCTCTAAAACATTCTTTGAGAGTATATTATTTATTGTAAGAATCCTTACACCAAATAATACTATGTTAAATGTACAGCTTAAAAATACTGTTTACTTTAAATTAAGAATTCCTAAGGTACCAGAAAAGTTAAGATTGGTATACAAATTAATTTATGCCTGTTAAATTGCCCCTGGTTAAGACAATTAGTAACCTGTTGCAGCTCTTGAAACTGTCTCCATGGTAACAACCAACTGCAGGGCAGTAGGTCCCTCTACATTTATTTTCAGTTGACCACCGGATCCACATACTTACGGTCAGCATCACTTGTTTCCTGCTCACTCTGGTCCTTGTTCTTGTAGAAGGGGAATTTTCGGGAAAAGAGGTTCTTTTTACGCTTGTCATTGAATGACTGCTGAAGAAGAGAAGGAGGGGCAAAACAAAGGGATGTCTACTGTCTGTGTGTACAAAGGCCCAGCCAGCCTAGCAGCTCTGTGGAAGCTGACTCTTGTGACCACAGTGTGCAGTTTATATATGAATTTTACTTAATTCACATATAAAGTGAATTTCTAATTTTGTATTAACTCCTCTAATTCTAATGTTTTATAACAGAAAATATTGAAAAATTTAAAGAGTGTAATTCAGTAATAGCTAAAAATAAGGAATATATGCTACTTGATAAAACTGAAAAGAGTAAATCAGGTTAGGTACTACTATGGTACAGACCAAGCTAACATCTATTCATGTCAATAAATATTTTTCTAGATTGCCAGGAGCTAGATGTTCTATAGCAAAAGTTATTTTAAATGATTCCTCTAGTTGTTCAAATATTTTTTATGCATTAGGTAATAACCTTCAATTTTCTTTTGCTTAAACACATTTCCCCTCCCCTCTCTTCCTTCCTTCCCTCCCTTCCTTCCTTCCTTCCGTGTGGCTCCAACAAACTAACAAAGACCTCTATTTGAAAAGAAAACCCGAACAATTGAGAAATTGCCAGTGTTGAATATTTAAAAAATAGTTTTCTATCTATCTATCTATCTATCTATCTATCTATCTATCATCTATCTATCTATCCATCCATCCATCCTTGAAGAGAAAAAAGATAACCAAATGCTTTTGGCATGAGTCAGAAAATAGGAAGAACACTAAGAGGGCTCTATCAAGGCCAAAGAGTCCAGCAAAAGACTTATCAATGCTATCTAACCAAGGAAGAAGAGTTAGGATTGTTTTAGCCACCATGAGTGCTATCATAACTGATTCCTTTGTCTTTAAGCTTTACTATACATATCTATTTTTAAAAGTATATTTAGATAATATAGAACCAGATTCGATTCACCAGCACCAGCAGTCTTGAATAGAGAATAAATAGTTTGGTGCCAGTAAGAGCCAAATAGACAATTGAGATTTGAATAGTTTATGCATAATTGCTATAAGGAAGATGTTCCTTATTGCACAGATATTGAAAAATTTTTTTCCATTCTTGAACGTCCCATTTGTGCATTCATAGATTAAAAAAATTATATTTTTATTGATTTCAGAGAGGAAGGGAGAGGGAGAGAGAGAGAAAGAAACATCAATGATGATAGAGAATCATCAATCGGTTGCTTCCTTCACACCCTCTACTGGGGATTGAGCTAGCAATCCTGGCATGTGCCCTGACCGGGAATCAAACCAGGAACTCCTGTCCTGGTTTATGTGTCAATGCTCAATCACTGAGTCACACCAGCTGGGCTGTGCATTCATAGATTAAAAAAAACAACCATGCAGCACAAGGAAAGATGAGCCTATTAAAGAGGAATAGTTTATTTTGTAATTTCTGTCATAGGCACACATGTCTTGAAGAAAATGACCTTACATACAATTGACACTCGAAATTATTATTATACTTTTTGAGGTGGGATCAATATTAAAAATAAAAATTTTGTTCTGATTTTTTCCTGAGTTTATTCACATTAAAAGATGCTTTCATTATTTCAAAGTGTATTGATACCAGGCAGTATGTTTTCAGCATGCCCATATTTTTAAGCATAAAAAGCCAGGTGATTATGGCTCTGAAATAGATTAAAGTGGCTTTTAGCTCAAATTCCATTACTTCAAAGACTTCATTTTGATAAGAATCTTTACAAAAACAAGGTTAAAATTTCATTTTTACCTTTTCATATCAATAATTCAGGATTAATAAGTTCATAGTTCACAGTCAAGCAGATTGTCTTGATTTCAATCTTAAAATTTGAAGGCTCTAATACCTCTAAGTGGAAGTTGAAAATTAAGTTGAGTAAAAAATAATTGAAGAACTCTGGGCTTATAATTATTTTTATAAACTGTCAAGTAGCATTATTTGAATAAAAATCTTTGAATCCAAATTTTAGAAAAGAGAACGAGAGGAAAACAAGTTTCAATAGAGAAAGATTTATGGTAATGTAATATCAGGGAAGGACTAAATCTTTTTGTTCATGACAATCATTGCTTTGGAATTTAGTAATCATTTTTATATCTGATAAAACTAATTTTTATATCTGATAAAACTAATCCTCTTACTGCATCTATAGTGGTCAGAGTCAGTTTCACAGCAAACAACCGAAAGAAACATGAAGTTTAAAATGTTTTGATTTTTGATATCTTTGCTGTTAGCCAGAATGAGATATCATAAAGATATCATAATATGGGACAGAAAGAAATGCATGTTAGTTAAGAAATGGATTAATTGTATTGCATTTAACATCCTCCAGGTGAAAAATATATTAAAGTAAAAATAGCACAAGCAAACAACAGAAAAATGTGAAGGGAAAACACAAAGCTAGAGAAACCATACTACTTCCAGTTTCTCTATATTTCCTATACAAAATACTGTCTAATTACTTATTATTATTATTAATGCTACATTGCAAGAGAGACAGAGTGTAATAAATATTAGAACTGAAAAATATCACAAATTCATGATACATATATTAAATATCTAAATATATTATCTCCATATAGTATTTCAAAATAGTTCAATGAATTTTAAAAATATTAATGAGAAACTGAAATGTTATAAGTCTGTAGTGGAAATAAAAGTCCATAAACCATGTAAGGAAAGAAAAAGAAGAATGGGAAATGGTGTTACAGAAAGAAATGCAGTTCTGTATCAATGGCAAGCGTATTTTTACCCCACTCAGTATCATGCATACTTTTGGTGCTGTGTTAGAACACAGTGACTGTGCATAAAGTTGGTTACAGTCAACAAACAAGACTAAGATTTAAATATGTCGTTAATTCAGTTAACTTCTTACAGTATAAAAGAAAAGTTACAACATGCAACCTCTTTTTAAATACATTGACAGTGTATTTTACTAAATTATTTTAAAAAACATATATAAAATAAGCACAAAAAACACTGTATAGATTTCAAATCCTGAGCATTTACTTGAAATTTTTTTCCTCCAAAAAATTCTATCTTAAATATTGCCTCAGGTCACACTATATAATTTTGTATTTTCTGAAAACTACAAGTTAATTTTAATGGAATTTATCATTCCTAAAATAATTGAATACATTATACAACTTACTCAGATTTAATTTCTTTAGTCAAGGGTCATATTTCTTTTAAATTTTAAAGCTTTAGGTTTGAGTGCTTAGTTATATCAGAGATGTACAGAAAATGGGGTTAATTTATTTGCTGAATTTTACATTCCTTTGAAATATGATCACAAGATGTCTAAAATTTTAGCTTTAGATTAAAAACCCCCACAAAACAGAAAACATTGCTACAAATAGTATTTTCAATACATTTTGAAATTCAGCTCTTTCATCAGCCTTTTTACTAAAATATTCTATTGCAGTAATTATAAACATAGTACAGGACAAAGCCCGTAAGATCTTTTTAATCTATTGACAGCCATTTGAAGCAACACTTAAATAAAAACAAAAACACGTCTAAAATATGTATAAAAGAATTTTGATATATTTTTTGACCATCTACAAACTCCTCCTCTTGACTGTCTCTTTATTTTTTCAAACTAAAAATTCATATTGACTCAAACATCTAAACATGGATTTTCCTAATAAATACTAGGTATAGAGAAAAGAACAAGAAAATTTCCTTGAATTTACTCAAAATCCCCCCAAAAACAGACATTATGATTTCATTAATAATTTTTTGGAGGCCTATTAATAATTTTTCAGATTTATTAACTATCATGATTAATTTTGGTAACACAAGTTTCTAAGTGAACATGTGAATGAAGACTAAATTAATTTCACTTGTAAAAATAACCTTGACCAAAAGTATGTTGTTAAGAAAAAATCAAATCACAGTTTTAATTTGAAAAGGTCTGTGAAATGGGTGCTTTAATTTAATTAAATATCTACTATTGTAAAGCAACATTGCCAGAGTTGTTGATAGTAATTTTCATGGCAAAATCCTCACTTTAATAATGTAGCTCAAATAAGAATGATAAAAAGGCCTATTACCCTCAACTATTAATTTCTAGAAATAAGAGATTACATATACTCACCCCTTTGTCTCCTCTTGTTTTAGAATTGAATTTCACTGTTTTTAATCGGGCTCGTTCTTTCTTCTCAACCCTGTCGAAGTAGCCAATATTATTTTTTAGGTGGACCAAATACATCTAAGGTTCTAACTACAATTCATCAGAACTGATACCTCAATACAGGGCATCTTTATATTCTAAAACCTTAGGAAGCCATCTAGGTTTGCATCCTAAAATTAATTAGAATGTCTAAAAAATAAAATACAAGACTTATTTTATTATTTAAAAAATATTTGTGAAGTATCAAAATACAGTATATGTGTGTGTGTGTGTGTATATATATATATATATATATATATATATATATACGCGCA